TGCCTTGGGTGATGGGTGACTGGGACAGAACTAAGCCACCTGGTACTACGGGGTATAAATACCTTAATTCTGCCTGAGCCGGCGCCACTGTGGAGCTGCCAGGCCGAAGGTGAAACCAAATGTGACAGTCACTAATATTATGCCAGTGTTAAGTTTAGGAGGGCCTTCCCCACCCCCTACAAAAGATACTATACTTAGTCACTTGAGAAATAAGCTGTGAAATTTATGCTGAACAGTGTACTGTATTAACAGATTAAAATTATTACCCCTAGCCAGGTGCGGTGGTGAATGCCTGTAATCCCAGCACTCTGGGGGCTGAAGCAGGAAGGTCACAAGTTGGAGGCCAGCCTGGGGTACGAGAGTGAGGTCAAGGCCAGCCTATGCTGGTAGTGAGACCCCGCCTCAACAACGGCAATTACTACCCTTTTTAATATGCAGGGAACTGTACCTCTCTGCCCTTGCAGGTCAGCTGGCCAGTACCCAGGATACCGACACCCTCCTGCCCCAGGCCTCAGAGTTTTTTTTTAAAATACTCAAAATCAAATTTTGGCTGCCTTCTCCCGCTTTCTCACCCTGTGCTACTGTGTACACACTGCCTGTGTTACTGCGGAGTGAACACAGGCCATTAATTCTACGTTTATAGATTCAAGGAAGAATTGTATTTGCAGCCAGCGGCAGTAAGGCATGGACTGGAAGCTGAAGCCAGCCTGGGAAGCTTACTTAGTGAGATACTGTCCCAGAGTGAACCGATCTTTAAAAAGCCTGGGGATGTAGCTCCGTGTGAAGGCCCTGGATTTAGTTTCCAGTACTGCTGAAAGACAAGCGTAATTGCTTTTCACAAACTAAACTGTTCAGTGAGTGATGGAGGCTTGCCTAGCCTGCACCCATCCCTGGGGCTTACCCCAGCACCAAAGAAACGAAATAAAAACAATAGATAAGGGAGGGTGATAGGGAGGTCTGATCAAAATAGGCTCTATCTGCATGTATGAAAATGCTACAGTGAAACCCAATATTTTGTAAAATTAATATGCACTAATAAAAGCAGACAGTTATAGGTGCGGTGTTCAAGTAGCCCAGACCTACCTGCCTTCTCTGTTATTTACATTGTACAACACTGTTTTGTAATCAGTTTTTAAAATGACACCTAAGTGAAGTTGATAGCCTATTTACTAATCTATAGCTGCTGCCAGCAAATTATAATGTATGCTGGGCCTGGCCTGCACCATTCTGTGGTTAATCTAACTCTCCAAGACAAGATCAGGGCCCCCGGGGTATCTCCGGTTGTTTCTCACCCTTCCTGCATTTTTCTCAGGGTCTGGTCTCTGGGTTATCTGCACCAGAACCACTTAAGGGCTTTAAGATTGCAGCCTCCGGGGCTTCTGGGACACTCCCACTGGCTGAGGCTGACTGGAGAGAACTCCTCCTTCGGATCTGTTTACATCTGTGTATTTAACTAGCAGTTAGCTCCTCAGCTTCTCTTCCCATAGAAGAAAGAGACCATCTGCTTATCTCCTTAGCCAAAAGCCGAAAGGGCATTTATCTCCAAGATGAACAGTTGAGTTTGGCCACTGGGACCTGTAGTTCCCCTCAGAGCTGGGCTGGGTTGCTGTGTTCTCTAGGTAGGAATCTTGATAAAGCCACTTCTGCCTGGCTGGCTCTTGTGGTGGTGCTTGGAGTTGCCAGCCCCACATGAACCTGGAAAGTGAGGTGTTAGTAGGATCCAGCAAACCTCACCACCAGTTCAGGGGCAGTTGACCAGGGCAGCCGTTTCGGTCTGGGTTTGCACTGTGAGAAATGTGACGCCTACTTCCAAGTATCTTCGTCCAGAAGAAACCTGGCGGTTGCTTGAAATGCAGCTTTTAATTCACAAGAGCGTATACTCAGGAAGCAGAGCTCAGAGCCCAGTCACCTTCTGGGAGGCTTGGGCCCCACAGCTCTCTGTACTCCTTGAGAATATCAGCAAATTCTCCATTTGTTAAGCACCGGGTCCCTTGGCCCATAGTTTTTACCCCTCCACCAGCTTGAAACTATCTCTGTTTCAGTGACCTTTCTTGGTTTTTCTTCTTGGTTTTTCTTCTTGTTTCAGACTCCAGGGTTGAAGGCAGATTTCTCTCAACTATGGCCTGAGGGAAGAAAGGGGTGTCCTTTTCTCTAGCTTTGTGAAAGTTGAGGAAAGAGTACCTGGTTGTTAATAAAAGGCCAATAATGACTGGGTATCTGTGAGGGTTCATCTATGAAGGACTGAACCCAGGAGAAATCAGGGTGACATGGTGGCATTGTATCACTGAAATCCTGCCTTGTTTTCTTTTTAAGGAACTGATTTGTTCTGGTACATTTTACGTATACATGATGATCGCATTCATTGAAGGGAATTTGTACCAGGGCATGATATGACTTGATTGTTTTTGTTATTTTCCCCATTCCCTTACCCTTCTTCTTCCCCTCCTTATTTATAAAGGCATTGTTTACATTTTTGAAATCTTTTTCTGCCAATGATTCTTGTTTGTTTCTGCGGTACTGGGGATTGAACTCGGCACCTTGCACTTGCGGGGCAGATGCTTATGCTGCTGAGCTGTGTCCCCGGCCCCTTCAAGATAACATTTTAGTAGGCTTTACAGATTAACATTAGAAATACTTGTGTGACAAACATATGACCTGAGTAATTGTTTATGATTAGATGTCAATTCATGGGCATCTCTGTGTGATCCTAAAAGTGTCTCCTGCCAGCCTCTGTCTTCCCCACCTGTGCTGCCCTTAGCAGCTCCCCTGGCCAATTCACAGGGTGCAGGGACTCTGGAGAGGTCTGTGTGTCCCCACCCCTCCATGCCTGCCTCTCCAGAGCCCTAAGACTCCAAGGGATCTTTCCTAAATATATTTGAGTTGAGGTGAAAAAGGCAGGAAAAATGGAGCCAGAATTTTTAGAAAAATGGCAACAACTTTGATGTGTTCATCTTAACCTGCTTTTAGAGAACTAGGATTTAGTATTAATTTTGTGGACCTTTCACCAAAATCCAAAACAGGAAGCTGTATTCCGTGTTCCTGTGAAATCTGAGGTTCTTACATACTTGGCGGTGGCTAAGGACAGCACGCGTGTCTGGCTGTGACTGCCTCGTACGTGCGCTCACAGTAAGTGCACAGAAGTTGAACACGAGTAGCAGTTGAAGTCCCAGGTCTTATCTCTCTTCCTACGTGTGGGGCCGAACCGTTCTCCTCTAAGGCTGATGCCTTTCTGCAAGGTGTGTGAATAGTGCTTCCCTGGTGTGTGATGGGACCGTGAAGACTCGGTTTTGTTCTTCATGTTTGCCTGTCACAAGGCTTTTAGTGGTTTCATTAGCCAACAGATAAATGTCGCGGGTGTGGATGTTAGTGACGCTTAGTGAAAGGACCAGCCGTCCTCTCTTCTCTCCTTTCCAAAAGCCTTGGCTCCTTGGCCCCGAACACTTCCTCTCCCCATGTGGTGTTTGCAGACTTGAGCTCATCTTTATTGACTGCATTAATATTGAAGCAAAACATACAGTTGTGCTTTCCTGTGGCCCTGGGCGGCGCTTGCTCAGGAAGACTGGCTGTTTGTGTCCCCAAGCCTACTTCTGTGGAAACCAACTGCTCCGTTTTCTCATCCGTCCCATTTTCCTTTGGAAGGGACCGCTGTTCCAGCTCATACTCCTAGCTAGTGGTTGACATTTTCCTAGGAACTTTGACTTGTCAAAAGATTAAAATGATTAATTTACTGACAAACTTAAATTTTTATATTCTAGTATGTTCCAAGTCTATCCTCCCTCCCTTCCTTTCTTCCTGGGCTAGAAAAGGAAGAGAACGTAGGGTCTCCCTTGTGTGTGCTGGGCAAGCACTACTGCTGAAGGGCAGCCACAGCCCTTGAGCATGTTTCTCGGGTGATCTTCATTGTACCATTCTTCTTGAGTCTGTATAAATGGACATTTTTAATTCTTGCCGTTCTTAACCTCCAGTGCTGTAAAAGGAAATTAATCTACACCCCTGTTCTTTGGGCACACTTACACAGCAGGCTCTGCCACTGTCGGCTTGAGTGCATGCTTGGGGTTGGGTTCTAGAAGCTTCCAGAAGCAAGTGTGGGGGCACAGCATCTTGAACCATACGAGTGGAACGTTTTCAGGGCCATGTGGACCCGCGTGTGACTTCTTGTCTGCTTATCCTCACAGCTTCCATGAGGCAGTCTCAGGCTGAACCTCCGGACCTGCGCCCAGAGATGTGGATCGCGCATGAGTTGCGACGCATTGGAGACGAGTTTAATGCCTCTTACCCGAGGAGGGTAAGGACGTGTTTGCTATTTCTCTTCCCCAAATGCTCCCCACCTCACTCCATACTATAAGAGACAAAATGAAGACGAGCAAGGACTGCATACTGGTTTTGGACACGAAGATATCCCCTACATGTGACTGCCCCTTCTTTTGCCTCTACTATTTTCCATTTGTTTTATGGCTGAATTTCATGGCTTAAATCACTTAAAAACATATAGTAGGAAGCTGCAAAGTATTTCATGAGCAGAAACCTTAAAACATCAGTGCTAAAAGTGGAAGTTATTTATAGGCTTTGAAAGACTCCCATGTGTTTAAATACTATGACTGTAGTTTTCAGTCCATGGGAAGCGCTTCTGCAGAGCTAGAATGTCAACGTGCGTTGTCACTGAGCTCCAGGGAGCAGTGTCAACACTAATCTAAAACTCCTGCCCTCTGCAACTGCCCTGAGCCCACGGAGGGAGCTGTCCCTCTTAGGCCTGCGGTGGTCCTTGCGCATGTATGATGGGAGTGGCTAGGAGGCCACTAATCAACGGTGTGCAGTTTGGGGTGGACAACCTTTAAATAAAGGTAGTTGACTGCCACATAAATTTGGAGATGGATTCTTGATTCTCACCAAAAAAAAAAAAAAAAAAAAAGTGTAAATGCAGTGTATTTAAATTTTTTTCTTTCGTTTTCATTTGGTAGAGTGTCCTATGACTGTTGAGACCCCTTTTCTGTATTGAGGATGGTTTAAGTGGGTCAGTTGTGAGTGACTGTCCTCTGAGGGCCACACTGACAGTTGCGGGATCTGAATGATGGAGCACGTTCCTTGAGACACCTCGGAGATTCCTGTTTATCAGAAAGGAAGGATGCTCATCTCAGTTTATGGGCGACGTTATAGTCCTTCATACCATTATCTCATTCTGTCACTTCTCTTCTGGCTTTATTTATTTTTTTCCCTGAAAATTACTGTCTCATAGAAAGTGCCTCTTACTGGTTGTAAAATCTCTTTCCCTTCCTTGACTTGGGTAAAGTCGTGCTGAGAATATCCTGGAATTTCTGTCCTACTTTAAGTGCCCGCCCTGGGCCCCGCCAGCTGCTGCTGCTGCTGCTGCTGCTGCTGCTGCTGCTGCTGCTGCTGCTGCTGCTGCTGCTGCTGCTGCTGCTGCTGCTGCTGCTGCTGCTGCTGCGCGAGTAGCTGTCCCCTGCCCGTCACTTTGAGTCGTTCCTGGTTTGCTCTTGGTGGTTAACACTGCTCGCATCTTCCGTGCACTCTCGCCAGGCCGCCTGGCGGCGTCTCTGTCGGAGCCTGGCCTTGCACGCCAGCTTCTCTTCCTGTCGTCCTGTGGGTGTGTGCCCATGTGCCTGCTGGAAGTGTGCTGCAGTTGTAGCTCTGTCACCACACAGGAAGTGTCACACTGAGGAATGGGCTGAGGACATGCTCCTGATGCCGTCTTCAGCCGGCCCGTGCCTGCAGACCTCCCTGCCACGGGTGGGCTCACACAGCATAAGTACTCAGCAGCCCACATATGAAGTGGTAGATTTTTTTTTTTTTTTTTGAAAGTTGGTTGATGCTATGATTTACTATTAAATTACATTCTCCATAGTTCTTAGGAGTTGGGTGTTACTGCACGCGGCTAGCCTTGGTTCTCAGTGGAAACGGGGCTGCAGTATGTTTGGGAGGCTGGCCCTCATGCTGAAGCCAGGAAGACGCGGGCCTCTCCAGAACCCGGGTTCTGGGCTGGGTCCAGCAGGTCAGGTCACTTCTGAATCAAGGCAACACACTACCATCATGCTGCGCCCAGCATCCCCTGTCTTGAAGGGGCTTTGCAGGTTTCTTGGGGGTGGACCTGCCTGGGGGTGGGGCTGCCTGGTCCCAAGTGTCCTGGAGCCAGGAGCTCGGCACTCAGCTGTGCCACACAGCTCCCGCTCTCATGCCCTACACAGGCCTGCTGGCTGCAGAACTGTTGTAAGAATATTCTGAAAAGTTTCTCTTTCAACCACAAAGTTTGAACTCACAACTCTACAAGGCTTCCCCAGGGCCTGCTGAGATCAGCCCATGAGTACAGGTCCCTACGGGGATGAGACATAGGCTAAAGCTAGAAGGCCACCCGCCTGTCCCCTGACAGAGGCTGTCCCGGTGGTGGTGCGCGGTTTGTGATCTTACCTTGACATTGAGGCTGAGGCTGTGCACAGCTTCTGTGAGCGTGCATGTATGTCCTCACTTCTCTTCCCAGGGTTGTTTCTTGGAGTCTTGTGTAGCAGGGCATCTAAGAAGATCGTCTGTTCTTTCCCATGAGACGACTGTTCCCCATGCTTTTGTCAAAACAAATTTATGTTCGGCTTATTGGACTGTTTTGCAAGATTTTATAATTGTGCATTTTTTGCATATCGTAAAAATATAATTCAGTGCTAAAGTGCAGTCACTAAGAAAGGACTTCAGCTTTCCTAGCAGGCTGGGATACTTCCAGAAAGGACTAGCGAGATTCCAGGCTGTAACAGAATTTCTCTAAAATGAGGACAGAAGAACTCTCCATATTGAATATAAATAGCCAGCTCAGAAACTGGACTCTGGACGTCTGGACTGTGGCACAGTGACCCCCAAAGCCACCAGCGGCTGTCCTGATAGTTGTTAGGTTGGAGCCACCTGGTGTCGGTAATGCTGGGGATGGCCCATCACGGGCGCAGGGAGGTGGCACCGGCCATGGTCTACAGTGTCGTGCCTTCAGATCACCTGCCGGCTTTGCAGGGTGCCCGTGTACTGCCACGCCGCTTCACAGTGGTTTCAGCCTCTTTATGCATTTCCTCCTGTCTGTTTTGCCTGACACCGTTTCAGAACCTTCCTTAAAGCATTGCTCTTTCATAGCCAGAGCCTGACCAAGCCCGACAGGGTGCTTTCCTGTTTTTCCAGTTAGAGAAAGAGGATGTCTTGCGTAGTTGTCAGTACTAGTGGTGGCCTGTGGTACAGGGCTGCAAAGCCAGACCTGAAGGAGGCGAGGGGCACATGGCAGGTGAGCGCGGCTCTTCACCCCTGGTGTCCCCCCTGGCCACCAGGGAGCTGGCACAGAGCCTTGCTGCTCCATGTCAGTGAGAAGTTTTGCCAACTTTGCTCTAAAAATAACTTCAGGTTTCCATCAGTGTTGAAAGAAAGGCACAGAGAACTCTGCTAGTGTGCCACCTGCGAGTCCCCAGTGCGCACAGGTTGTCACATTTGCTTTAACAGTGCCCCTGTTGACACATGTCCGTACTGTTTCCACGTGGTACCCTTGCCCTGGCTCTTGGTCCTTCAGTATTTCCTAGGAAGAAGAGTGCTCTCCTGCGTAGCCACAGCCTAACTGCCAAAATCGGGAAGTGAACTGTGTCCCACTGCTGTCATCTGATCTACAGACTTCAGCTCTATCAGTTCCCAAATGTCCTTTGTAGACCCACCTCACCAAAAAAGAAAAAATAATAATAATTACAAAGGTATTTTCTGGTGCCAGATTCAACCTAGGGTCATTCCTTGAATTTTGGTGCCTTGTCCCTTGTTCCACTCATTTGGCACCGCTTCTCAGCCTTTGCCCTTGTGACAGTGCCCTTTGTGAAGGAGCTGGAAAACCGTAGCCTCAAAGCAGCTGGTTTGCCTGATATTTCTGCATGATGCCATCACGGGCTTGGTACAAAAATGCTGCTATCTTTGTCCCTAGTACCTTGGCTCCAGAGTCACATGGTGTCCCTCTGTCCCCTTCTTGGTGCTGTTCAAGGGTGGTGTCGTCTGCTATAGAGTTAACAGTCTAAATCATTTAATGGCAGCAAAGAGCTTGTAAAAGAGGGGGAACTTTCCTCTCCTCCATAATTTGTTTCCTTTGCCTTCTCGGGTTTGTGGCTTCTGGTGTGTCCCGTGGGTCACTGTGCTTGAGTTGCTCTGTGTATATCATGTACCTTGATACCTTGGTGTCTCACCCACTGGGCCGGTGCGGCCCGCTGAACCTCAGTAGCTGTGAGTCAAAGCCCAAGCCTTGGGGTTTGATGAGCCCTTGGAGGTGTTGGTCACTGGGTTGACGGCAGCCACATGGTGTGCTGTCTCTACTTCTTGTGTCCACCTGGCAGCGTGGGACACATACACAGGACTTGTAGGGGGTGGGCAAGCTGGGGGACACAAGGATGCCAGGGGCCTGGAGGGAGGAGGAGATCAGAGACGCTGGCTATCTTGAGGTGATGGACGGATGAACCCTTGCTTTTAGCAGAGCGGCAAGGTGTGTGTGGCAGCAGGACAGCTGGTGCCACGAAGCCTCCTCCTCATCCTGGGAGGTAGAGAGCCTCAGTACAGAGACAGCCAGATTTCTGTGTTCAGAAGCAAGCCTCACTGGTTCCTTCCAAGACTCCGAAACTGCACGAGGGCACGTGCTGGCCTGTCTGCTGCAGGTGACGTCAGCTGGTGCAGGTCATGGCCCTGTGCCAACGTGAACACTGGCTCTGAAGGCCTGGTGTCCCTTTGGGTGGGCATCTTGACCTTGGGGCAGTGGAGGAGTGTGGGCCCTTCAGAACTTGAAGGCTTTTTGTTTTCAGAGTTAATGAACCTTTCTGCAGCCCTTACCGGCCCTTACTGCTCCTGGGATCTGTCTTCTGGGCCGTGTGGTCTGTGTTTCCAGCCAGCGAGGCTGCTCGCGGTGTGTGGTGACTGGGGGATGCTCCAGCGGTACACAGCCGTGGACAGCCATGAAGGAAGCTCCGATGGACTCTGCAGATGGGGCAGGAAGTGGATGAAGACTCATCTGATCACAAGAAACAGGGCATCTTTTGTTTACACTGCCTACTTCCTTCTCTGTCCCCGACATGTGTGGGCATGAATTGATTGAAGTTCTGTAGACCAAAGTGTAGCCCTGAGTCAGAGAAAGCAGAGGGAAGAGGTGGCCTGCAGAGGAGTTGTAATTAAACAGAAGCCGAACGGAAGCATGCACAGGGTCCCTGCATACCCGTTTGCTGTACTATGACAAACTTAATCTTTATGTGACTATCCCTCCTGAGAAGTAGGATCCTCTGTGCGTCCTCA